ATTTACCTCATCCAAATTCATTAAACATGCAGCAAGGGGGTCCTCAATGGTTAACACCTCATCATCAGTCTCTACGATTACATCCACGACATCAATAAGAGAACAATTGGCGAATTCACTTGGTCGCCTCATAGATTTCTGCACATTGAATGTTATCTCCTTATCGTTCAATCTCATCTTGAGCTCCCCGGTTTCACAATTAATGAGAGCTCTCCCTATGGCCAAGAATAGTATTCCCAAAATTATGGGAATCTCTTCATCCACTATGCAGTCTAAGATCACAAAATCTGCAGGGAACACAAATTTCCCTACCTGAATTAACACATCATCCAATATACCAGAGGGTCGTTTCACTGTCCTGTCAGCCAGCTGCAACAACATAGAGGTGAGTCTAGCTCTTCCAATGCCCAGCCTCTTGTAATTCGCCAGGGGCATATGATTGATGCTGGCCCCTAGATCACACAGTGCTTTAGCAAAAGCAAAATTACCAATAGTGCATGGAATTGTAAAGCTCCCTGGGTCAGACAGCTTTTCTGCAATTGGTCTAGTCACCACTGCACTACATGTCTAAGTAAGAGTAACTGTGGCCAAGTCTTGGAAATCAAACTTTCGGGACATCAAGTCCTTCATCATTTTTGCATACCCAGGCATCTCATTCAAAGCTTCAATCAATGGTATGTTTACATGGATTTGTTTCAGCATTTCGAAGAACTTCTTGTATTGTTCCTCATTTTGGTACTTAGCCAGCCTCTGAGGGAAAGGTGCAGGAGGTCTCTTCTTCCCAATCAACTGAGATTGATCCTTATCAGCTGCTACATCAACTACTGGTTCCTAGACTGTCTCAGCTTCTTTCTCGGTCGCATTCTGAATGCTATTTTCTTTCTGGGCAGGCTGGACTGGCACCTCCGTCAGTTTCGTTGACTCATCCAGCTCAATGGGCACTGGTATAAGTGTCTTAGCTTGTCTAGTTTCTCGAGCCCTCTCTTGATCTACATCCAGATCTCTGTCATTACGTAGACTTACCGCCATCAGCTACTTTGGGCCTTGATCTTTTGAATTTATCTAGGTGTCTGCAGGTAGTGTCCCATGAGGACGATTGTTCAGAGACATAGAAATTTGGCCCACCTGCACTTCAATATTCTTGATTGCTGCATCATGTGCATCCACTCTCTCATTAATTTTTGCATTAGACCCAATAACCTGATGCATCATTGCCTCAAGTCTAGCAAACCCATCTTCCTGCCTTCCACCATGCTGCTGTTGAGGAGGGTGATACCCCTGCTGCTGATTCTGATTATTATATCCCTGTGGCCTTGGGTAAGGTGCCATATTGTTAGGGGATCTCATACTTCCCATGTTTTCATTGTTGAACTGTGGATGGATTGGCCTGTATTGCTGATTTTGCTGGCCCCAATTCTGACCACCCTGTCTCTGGCCTCCATAATTAGACACATAATTCATGTCTTCAAGGTAGTGGTGATGATCATGTTCTGCATTCCATTGGTTACCGATTGGCTGACTAATGCAAGATGCGCACAAGCCCCCATTGGTAGTATCTACGATGTGTACCTGCTGCTTCTGCCCTGACTCTTCCACCTTTTTGGTGAGTATACTCATCTGTGTCAATAAGGTGGCCATATTTTCAGCCATAGAGTTGGATGGATCTAAGGGCACTGAGTGAACCACTGGAGTGATAGGTGCATTCCTGGTTGTCCATCCCGAATTTTGTGCCATCTTGTCAAGCAAACTCTGGCCTTCTCTCCATGATTTGCTAAAAAATGCTCCACCAGCTGAAGCATCAACAATGTTATTCACGCTATTTGACAATCCCATGTAAAACCGCAGCCCCAACATCAGATCTGGAATACCATGGTGCGGGCATATAACCAGCATCCCTTTAAAGAGCTCTCATGTTTCATGCAGTGTCTCCATTGGTTTCTGTTTAAAACTCAAAATTTCATCAATTTGTTGCGCAGTCTTATTGGGTGGGTGGAACTTGTTATGGAATTGCCTGACTAACTCATCCCAAGTTGTTATAGAATTTATGGGAAGTGAGTTTAGCCAAGTCTGGGCAGCTCTTGTCACTGAGAATGGAAACAATAACAGCTTGATTGCTTCAGGAGTTACGTTTGGGCCTTTGGGTTTTGCAGATAGAGAGGAAGTTCTTCAAGTGCTGCTGAGGATCTTCGACTTGCGACCCCGAAAATAGTCCCTTATTCTGCAACAAGTGCAGCATGTTATTCGTAATTTGGAATGACTCAGCCTATATCTGTGGAACTACAATGGCTGTGGACAGATTTTCAATTGTGGGTTGTGCCCAGTCATAGAGAGCAGCCTCTAGCACTATTGGTACCGCTGGGTTTTCCTCGTGATCCCCCATGACTGTTTCAAATTGTGCAGTTGTTGGTTGTTGTTTGTTTTTCCGATTAGCCCGATTTAAGGCCTTGAAAACTTTCTCGGGATCTTGTAATGCTTCAAATACTTCACCAGATCTGGATGAGTTTCTAGGCATGCACCTGTGCAACCAAGTCAACAAACGTTAAAATTTCAATGTAAAAATTGGGTATAGAGAAAAAATGACTACAATAAGAATTTTTGTACTTCTTTCAATTGTAATTGATAACACCGTTAATTCCCCGGCAACGACGCCAAAATTTGATCACGCCCAACTATGCTTTATAAAAGGACAATGCAGACGTTACAAATATAACCTGAGTATTTATGCCCAAAATCGAATCCGCAAAGAATTAACCTATCAATTACTTTCGTTGGACTTACTAAATTCTTTAGAATCAACTTCCCCAAACGTTGTGAATAACAGTTGATGGTATATTTAATAACTAAGATTGAAAGTCAATAAACAGTTGTAAACTAAATATGCTTAAGTTGTGAACAATAATGAGAAGGTTCTAAGGTAGTGATTTCCCCTATTGATGGAATCCCTTCTGTTTATGTTTCATATAGATTTACCAACACATCTCTATCAATCATGAACACTCTTTTTACCGTGAATCTCTCCCGAGTAATCACGATAATTTACTAGACGCACTCTCCCGAGATACACTAGCTGGCTTTGTTTATTACAGTTCACTTTAGATTGCACCCAAGACTTCGTTATCCCTAATCCCACATTTAACCCCGCAGTTATAGATCCCTCTTATACTTTGGGAGTGGTGTTGTTCAACAATCACCTAAATATGCACTCTCTCCCGAGTTATGCACACTAATTAGGCACAGCTAATTGAGGATCTTGTCAATTAACTACAACAAACGCGTAGTTGAACAAATAAAGATTAAACTTGCAAACTATATTAACATAATCAAGAAGTTCATCCTTCAATAGGTTCCATCAAAACCTTAGACAAAGGATTTAGCTACTCATGACAATGGGTAAATAAACTATGAAAATATTCATGATCAAAATTGAAAGAAAAATAAAGAGAAGAAGAAAATATGATGTTTCTGGTGATCTCTCACACTTGTTTCTCTTGCCAAAGTACTCTCTAAAACATTACATGCCTCCCTTGGGCGAGTTCTATTGTTTAATATAGGGTTTTGGGCTAAAAATCCCGTGTTTTGCACTTCAGTCCCTTAATTTTCTGCTTCCTATCGCGGTCTTACCGCGGTTACACCAGGACCGCGGCCAACTAGCCTCTCAGAATCCGCAACAGCCTTCTGCCGCGGTCCGATCGCGGTTACGTCGGGACCGCGACAGTCCATCTCCAGTTCTGGTTTTGCTGCCTTCGCGTGGTGCACTTAGCGGATATTGTAAGATTGGCCTCTTTTTCTCTGTAGTTTATCCCAAAAGTACTCCATAGACTTCTTTTATTGTATGTAGCCTGCAACGCATGAAAAACACTAATCAGAGTATTTTGCTATCATTTTTTACCATAAAAACTATACAAGAAGGTGGTTCTTTAGGGCCTAATTATAGTCCAATTTACCTATTATTAATAAATAAGTTAGAAAAAGAAAAAAGCTTATGCGGCATAGGCTGCAAGACAATATGTTTATTTCTTAAATTGTCATTTATAACAAAACTAGATGAGGGATGGTCCATGCTTAGCATGGGCCCAACACTTAATTACAAAAATAATTTTCTTAGTTGCATTACTTTAATTATTTTGTAAAGATCATTCAGGTTAATTTAAATAATATATTTAAAGATGAAAATTTCATATGCATCTTTGTTTAATAGAAATCATTGTATTTCAGAGTTAACCATCTCATTTTAAACTTAATTGTTGGCAGAGGCGGATCTAGAATTTGAAGGTCGCGAGTACATTTTTTGATTCAACCAAAATCTATTTTATATTTAAGGTGTCAGTGCTAATATATCACTATTTTCTAGAAAATATATACATGTAAACATAAAATTTTTACCGAACTTTACAGGTGCCAGTAAACCCTCTTAGTATAGCATAGTTCTGCCTCTGTTTGTTGGAATTTAACATCAAGGAAAAAGACATAAAAAGGTTACCAATATTTTATCAACTTGTTTTTTTTTTGTCGTTGTGTGTTGTTTTTTGCTCATATTCTTATCTGAAATTTACAATAAATTTTGTTTTAGCGTAATAATAGGTGGGCTTATTTGTAGCACAAATATTCATAGGCAACACATTTTGGTAATTTCTTAGCACGTTAAATTTAAGAATGCGAAGTCCCTAAATTTATTTAAACCCCGTCAACTTGTGAATAACCAAAGTATTTGCATTTTTCGTTGTTGATAATCTGTTAGTTAATAGTATTGAAATAAGATAAGATGTCATTTTTTTAATATATGAAAAAATAAGTGAACCTAAAAATATAGAAACAAATATTTCTGAAGGAGTACTAATTTTACTCTTTCTGTTTATAGATTTTTCTCGTTAAGTCACTACAAAAACGCCAAATTTGCGGCGGTTTTATTGAGACGGTTTTTATAACCTCAGCAATCTATAACAAATTGTGGGGTTTATTTACCCCGCAAATATATTAAATTTGCGTCGGTCGTTAACCTCCGCAATCATTAAAAAAAAAGTGCCCAATGTTTCCCTCGTTTTTTAATCGTTTTCCTCTCTTTTTCCCCCAAACCCCTTTCTCATTTTCACTTTTTTCATTTCCAGAAACCCACTCTCAGTGAATCACTTAATCAAAAATAGCCGAACAAAACTTAATCTCTTCCATTTCTTCTTCATTTCCTCCGATTTCAAGCTCTCTGCTTTTCTTCAGTGCCTCATCTTTCTTCAGCGCCTCCTCTGTTGCAAAATAAAAGAGATATGAAAGAAAACTTCAGATCTATCAATCAATTGGATGTAAGTTTATTTGATTTTGCTCTTTCATACAAATTCCTCTTCGATTTTGCTTTGATTTTGCTCTTTCAGTCTTTGAATTTGCTTTTTTGTCTTTCTTTCTTCATGCATGTGGGTTTTAAGTTTATTTTCTCTGTTAATTTGGTAGAATCAGTGTATTTTGAAGAAATTTGGTAGAATCGGTGTATTTTGAATCGGCAAAAATTTGGTAGAATCCGCAGAAATTTGGTAGAATCGGTGTATTTTGAAGAAGGACATAACACTCTTTGCTGAAATCGAGATGCAAGTCCTCTTTCTCCTTTCACATTAGGTTCTAAAATTTAGGTTTTTTGTGTATTTTGTAGGTTAATTTCTGTGATTGATGTCTTAATTGAAATATTTCCTTTTGCTTGTGTATTTTAGAACTCCTGGGGACCTTCAGAGAAGACAATTGTCGCCAGCTGCTTTCCCTCTTTCTGCTCTACTTTGTGTTTGAATCAGTCTCAAGGTACATTTTTTGTTTTTCTGCAGGTTCTGGGCATTTCAGTTCAGGATAAGTTTGTGAAGGTCATTTAATTGTTCGTTCGTGGTCTGGTATAATCCTCTCTTTATTTGAGCACCTAGATTTTGTTTTCTTCGTGGTATCTGCTAATAGTGATAGAAGCACTGAATTTCTCGAATCTTTGTTATTTAACTGTCTCCTGCCAAGAAAGATTATGTTCAGAATTCTTCTGCATACCAGGCATCAATAGCAATTGTTGTTATATTCGTAACATTTGGTTCTTCAGTATACAGAATTCTTGATTAGTACTACAATTTGGACAATTTTTATTGATAAAAATTGGTTCTTATGTGTCACGAAAATGCTACTACTACAATTTTTCTGTGTTGGGCACAGAGTACTAGCATTTCTTGCTTGAGCCTCTTTGCTATGCATTTCCATGGGAAATTGTGATGAGAGTAATATTATGTCGATGGTTCTATCAGTGAAATGGGGTATAAATAGGAAAATTTTGGTAGATGAGCAAGAACTAAAGTACGTACGTACTTTCTTTGAAGTAGCATAGGTAGGAGAAAAGTCGGCTGACTTAGGCTAACAATTGTGGACTATTTCTTTGAGATTTGAAGATTCAGAAGATTCCTTACTGTTGTTACTGTTATTGGAGCTCCTTTTGTTGCTGTATTTCTCTGTTGTTACCTTGGAATCTCCCTCCTCTATGCATTCTTTCATTTTCTTGTCTTTGGTTTCTTCTTCTGCAATCCCCTGAAAGATGTCCACCATGATGTCTCTTTTCATCTAAAAGATCAAGTTTTTATTTCATAGCTTGCTTTTCTATGTGTAGCTAACTTGTCAATCACTGATTGAAGTAAGGACACTTGCTTTTGGTGTGTAATGTATTTAGGAAAAAATTGAACTAGCATTGACCCAAAGCACTGTGGATGAGTCTGAAATTTCGCCAAATGATGCTGTTGGTAAGGTGTTGGGAAAAGAGCACTCTGCAAGGGTAAGGTGCTTAGGATTAGGAGTTGTTCCTAGCAGAGCTTTTAGACAAACAAAACCTCGCTATAGTGATTTGAATGCTTCAAGTTATAATAATGGTTCATGTTCTTCCCAATGCCAAGAGAAGTACAATCAAATGTTGAACGCTCACAATCAAAGCCAGGAGAACTACAGAGAGAAATGATGAATGTTAACACTCAAATGATGAATGCTAACACTCAAATAATGAATGCTTTTAAGGCGTATATGATAATGAAAGAAGGGAAGATACCTGAAGAATTTGCAGGGATATTTGTTTCTCCTCCTCATTCAATGGTAAGAATAGTTGATAACTTTCTTATTTAATTTTGTAAAATATGATTGTTCAGTCCAAGTATAATTAGTTATAGGATATTGTTGAGGTACTTTTTTTTAATTATATTTTCTTTTGATTGTTTTGTAGCCAAGTGATGCGGCTAGCGGATCCATTTTACCCACGGATATAAGAAGATCATTCGGTGAAAGTAATCCTAACGACAACCATTGAAGTTGCTTGCAAATGTATTAGATAATTAAGTATCGTACTCGATTGAATGATCATAGTAGATCTTTTGTCCATAATGGTTGGAGTGGATGTTATGTTTAATGTTAGTTTTAAGACTTATAATATTGATGTTTTGTGTTTAATGGTTGGAGTTGTTATGTTTAAAGCAAATTTTTGAGACTAATGTATTGTGGTTTATTAATATATTGATGTTACTTGATTCCACTAAGCAATTTATATAATTTGTTGATGCTTCATTATATTAATGTAATTGAAATTGGAACAGTTATGGAGTAACATTATATTGCAGAAAAAGGTTATAACTGCCGCTATTTAACATATGATAATATTGTGTTATAAAATTTGTGGGGGTTAAATAAAGAAATTGCGGGGGTTTCAGACCTCCGCTATTTGTTTTAATAAACGGCAACCAACTACCAAATTGCGGAGGTTATACCGCCGTCAAATGTCTGCCGCTATATGATAACGGCGGTCTATCAGAAAACCCCGCAAATTGGTTGCGGCGAACATTATTGCGGGGGTTTTGGAAACCGCCGTAAAAGTGTATTGCGGAGGTTTATGACCCCCGCAATATGTAGATAAAACCTCCGCAAATACAACATTTTTTTGTAGTGAGTGCTTGAATTATAAACTGAGCAATTCAATTTTGAAATATTTACCTGACCTTCAAAATAATTATGAAGATTCAAATGGTAAAAATATTATAGTTTGAACACTAATACCGTGAGATTTAATTTAAGTCTGTGTCATTTCCTAATCAGATGACCCTCTTCCTGTTATATATATGAAAAAATAATAAATTTAATATTAATATTATAAATTAAGACGGAGCAAGTTTTTCTAAATGAGAATAACTTAATTAATAATTAATAAAAGTAACTCAATGTTTGGTTTGAAATAGCATAGTAATATTTAAGGGTTAGCCTTTTGTAAATAATTTGTATTCTACTAATTAGTTACCAAAACAAAATAATACTAATAGACAAACAAATTCCAATTCCTTCCTAACGTTAAGTTAGTTCGGTTTTATAATTAATTATGTTGCTTATCTTAAGGTAAGTAAACATTTAATTATTTTTGGTTATATTTGTTTCTTATGAAAGGATTATTTTGTTAAATGTTACATAATTTAGCACATGTTTTTATCCGTAACTTGAAATTTACCTGGCTTTAAATAAATCAACATGGAAAAATAAGTTGAATACTATACTTTGTTGTGGTCTGTAACTCTTACAGCTTGGCATATAACTCAAGTTAGCTTTTTGTTAAATTATATACCTAATCAAACTTAAAGTACATAAATCCATATATTGGCCATGCAAATAGTTGTCATATTAGCAAAACGTGGCAATCACATATGCATCACAGTTTAATTCATAGGAACCTGATGTGTTGGACTGTAAAATTAACTGGTCCAATAGTCCAGCGCCGAAATACAAAGCGAATAAAGCTGTAAATACCCCAAAGGACCCTTCAAGTTCCACATGTATATGCAGGACATATAGAGGAAATAACTGAAATGGCCTGGTCTTTTTGTCAATTCATATTGACCAGAAGCTCCTCTCATTCCCTCTTCTATATATTATTACTAGTGGGAAATGGCCGGTGCTGAGCCCGGACCCAAATTTCATAAGTTAGCAACTGATATCTTTTTGATGAAAATAATAAATAACTTTACTATATTATAGTAAAATACAGATTTGAAAATCCCACTGACAACGTCTTCTTAGTTAGTAGAACTATTATCTAAGAACTTCAAAAGCAAGGATCTGGGTATAAAGACTATTGATGAATATGTAGTCAATATTTATGCAGTATTATTTGTATCATTTATCGCATTTTCTGGCAACGCATATTATCATTAACATAATAGTAATATTGCAATCTCTTTTAAGTTATTACGAATTAACTGCATTAAACTGATTGTTATCACTGCAAATTTCTTATTTCTTATACCAGCGGGACAAACAACGACTATGTTTCTATTTATAAACTTGGATATATCATAAAAACGATGAAAACAAATTCAAGCCAAAAGGATCATATTTACTGGTGAGTCTTTAGCAAGCACTATTTACATAAGTTACAGGACCGTTATGTTTCACTGGCTAACCAAAAAAGTAAATGTACATGCCAGTAAGTTGCGCAAAGTGAAACGCATTGTCCATGTTTTCTGCAGTAGTGGAAAACAAAAGGATGTCAATAATGGCATGTGACAAAGTAATTAGGGAGATTGAAAAGGTAGTAGGTTTTATTTGCGGTACCTGTAGCACATAAGCTAGCAGGTTTGAAACACATATGTACATAGCTCCAAAAGATGTCTATACGCGCAGACTGCAAAGAAATGGGTAAATGTAAGAGCGAAAGAGAAATATTTAAGTATTGGAATCTCATGCTAGAGAATATTTTTACTGAAGTATACCAGTATTTTATATTGAAAAGCATATTGTGTAATAGGAAAAAATTCAGAACCTAATTGCGGCATAGATTTTTTAGAATGGCCTTATAAGCAACTGCTTGTTAAGTATAAAGGATGCAACAACAATTGCTCTATATTAACTGAGCGGCTTAGCGAAGTCTTTTTCACGCATAATCAGTGGAATATTACTGGAACCTGCTGAAAGATGGTGTGCTCTAAATTTATCTAGAAGAGGGCCTTCCTTGGAAGAATCTTATAGGAAAAATAATAATTTTACATGCAGGTAAGCGAAAGCGTAGAGTCAAGTACTATCATTAAAACATATACACAACTTATGAGAGCTCTAACAACAAAATGAAATGCTAGAGATTCATAAAAAGTAATATCATTCCGATGAATTCTAATAGGAGAAAAAAGAACTATGCCCCTTGCTGTTAGTGAGAAGAAAATAAAAGGATTGAGCTAATTGGACAACCATTTTCTGATTCTAAAGACAACACAAAAGCCACATATCACGAAAAAAAGAAAACTGAAGAATCTGTCCTAGGTAACCAATCGAGAAATTCACACAGTTCTGAATAGATAATATCATTATTTTAAAAAAGAAAAGAAAAGTTACACTATTTCAAACTCAGACTTTTCAGCTTTCTTTAAGCCTATTTTACTTGACGAACACTAGGATGCTAAGTAATGGAGACAATGGAAGAATAAGCTGAGGTGACATGCTCTGTAATTGAATCTAAAGATGACTTATTTGATAAATTACAGTAGGTGGTCCAGCAGAGCAACTGCTGGGATTTCATTATGGTTCCTTAAAGAGTATGTTAATGATCAAAAGAGGAAATCTTCTAATTTTCCCTCAGCTTTGCCAGGTGCTTTCATCATTGTTATGTCTATTTTTCTTTGAGTTTTGTTTGAGTTATTTATTCTGCATGTTAAAAGGAGTAATGAAAAAGTAGAGATAAAGCTTATTAACCTTCATTTTTTCTTGGGGGAGCTATTCAGTTCAGTTTGTTTCCTCTTAGTGGAAGAACTACCTTCTGTAGTTAACTCGTTCTTCAGCTCTTCTGTAGGTATAACTTCTTGCATATTCGAGTGACTGCTTTCTCCTCTTTCTAACTGTTTCCCTATTGCAACATTTTTCAATTTAGTGTTACTGCTTTCTCCAATTTCTTTAGAGGCAACTGCTGCGGGCAACTGAAATAAATCTTCCTTGACAAAGTAGGACACAATGAACAACCGCATATCAGAAGTTCTAGAAAATGTTTTCCGCAGTTGTATCTTGAAGAGTCTATGAGTAAGACGTTGTCGAACATGTTCAAGAGGTAATGGTTGTTTCTGCAAGAAAGAAAAACATGAATTTAACACATCAAGATGGTGATCAAAAGTAATATACTATTTTTTAGCCTATAAAGTACTTGGGATGCATAAGAAATTAAAAGACACCTTATACCCAAAGGCAGACATCAAGGAAGACAGAATAGAAAGAACTAAGAGTACACTTGCTTTCACTGTATCATAATTTTAACAAAGTTTCTCCAATTGCCATCAACAACATACCTTTACGGAGATTATTTCACAGATACCCGCGGCGGTCATATCAAGAAATTTTTCTCCTAATTCACCTATTAATGTTGCTACAGCTGATCCACTGCTGTCTGTCATGACAACCTCAAAGCGTGCTCTAATAGCAACAAAAAAGAAAAAAACACAATTAACACTAAGTACCCCACATGAGAAAAAGTTGTTAGCAATAGTTGACTTGCCTGGTTTCTTAGAAAAGAATGTAAATGCTCTCTATAAACCCAAAAAAATGATGTTTTAGATACATGATACTGTTCAGTTCTTCCTTTTTTTCTGTTCTGGAGTGTAACAAATCTTCAAGGGAATAAAGTTTTTTTAACATGAAATAGCAAATCTAGCATATTGTTTCATGATGTACTGCCAAAGCTAGTATATATATAAGAGAATATGGTTTAAGCATCAAGTAAATTAACTGATCTCTTTGATATACGTTATTTTATTTTCATGATGCCAATGACAAAAAATACCTTTTTTGTTTGAAGTTGTCGGCTATAACTTTCTTCCAATTTGTACATGAAAATTCTAATTATTTATAATTCTTTCTACTCCACTATTTATTGACCAAGGAATTATATGCTGATTCTCATTTGAGTACATAATTAGTGGTGATGGTTAATCTAGCGACAAGGTTTTGGGGTGACCGTCAGTTTGATGTTGAAAGTAAAGCGAACTCCAACTTTCTGGAATAACTATTTGACTATCTTTGTACCTGGGTGTTAACATTGCACGTTGTTTGCAGCTCGCACAATGAATAATTTTGGGCGAATGAGTTCTGTACTGATGCCCGCAGTGTGAACACAATAATTCATAAAAATCTTGGTTGTCATTTGGCAGTGATAATTTACCTTCCACTTCAAAAGACTTGTATCTGCGAAAGAATGAGATATAAGCAGATTTATTGAGTTGGGGTTAAAATACTAAAGTACTTTATATGTACACATATTAGCATGCATAAAATACACATACATGAGATTGTGACGGGATATCAACAATTGGTACAATATCTGGCGCAAGCACAAGTGACGAATTAGTTTGCTGATTGTATCTCATCAATGTGCGTCTGTTGTCTCTGACCCTGTACGTGTATGGAGAATTTCAATGCCAACAAATGTCACGTAGATTTAAAATGATACAGAAAGGTTGTCGCAAGCTAAAAAAACGTAGGAAAAAGTAGGAATAGGTTGTTTCAATGAGAAATT